AGGAGGAGGAGAAGGAGCGTCAGGAGGAGGAGTTGGAGAGGAAGGAGGACAGCAAGCGAGAGGACATGTGCGACGTTGGCAACGGCGCCCTGGCGCCAGTAGCCATGGCGGCGGGCGTCAGCGTAGAGGGTGCGGCAAGCGCGAGCTGACTCGACCTACGCTCGTGCCGATGGTTCAGAAAACCTGGCTCGCTTACCCGGCCCAGCGTTGCTCGGGCCCCCGGCGGAAAGTTGGCTTTGCTTCCATGAGAGGTCACCCGCGGAGGCGCGAAGATAATCGCACTGCGTGCGTCGCGGTCTGGGCCAGAACAGTTGCCCTTCTCCAGTGGGGGCAGCACAGGGGCGCGCGTCGTGCGATGCGGGAAATTCGATGACCTATGCTGCGTGGGGCTGTGCGCGCAGAGCTGTTACTACGCTTGTGTGACATCTTTGTTGGGAGGTTGGCCCAGAGATTTCTCGTGCGGGTGTTCCCCTAGCCGTAACCTTTGCTGCACCGGGATAGGGCACCGCACCTCCTGCCGCAGTCGAGAACTGGGCGGGTGCATTCTGCCACGGGCTCGAGGGTGCGGGGCTCCAGGCGGCAGAAGCCAATGGTCGTCCAGACACGTCCGCGGCCCGCTGCCCCGGGTGGGGGAGGCGCGCCGACGCAAGGCAGGGCCAGGAACCGCGCGTCAGGGGAGCCTGCAGGGGGATTGCCCTGGTGCTCCTCCGCGCTCATCCTCGTCGTCCTCCTCCTTCTCCTCCCCTTTGCCATTTTGCCTCCCTCTTTCCCACTTCATCCACTACGGGTTAGGAGGCTGCCTGGCTGCATGGAAGGCCTGGTCGTTGCCACTCACGTCGCGTCTCTCGTGAGCCTCGGCTACACGTAGGAGTCACGCTTCGCCGCAGTGAAATCTGCTGCAGGCCCAGAGAGGGTCCATGTTTTTGTCGTTCGAGGCGCGTCCCACCGACCGTTGACGTGATGCGACAGCAGCAGCTTGCGCGGCCCACGAGCTCCCCTGAAGCCGTACACTAAAGGTCACTCGTGCCTACTGCAGGTTGTCGGCGGCGGCGATCACGCTTGGGCCGTTCACTGTTGAACGACATCAGTGTCCCAGAATCGGCCCATGCGGAAGGATCTGGAGATCGCAAAGTCGCCAGTCGTTCTTGGACGGTTCACTCAGTGTTCGACACCAGCACTGGGGTCGTCACGACACCAGCTTGCCATAGGTCGGCGGCGCGCCCGGGGGGGAAGCCATAGCGGGCGGGCATTCCCAGAAGGCTCAGAAGGCCCCTGGCTTTCTGAGAAGGCTTTGAAGCCTTATGGCCCCGCCGCCTTCTGAGAAAGCTTGCCCACTCTTCCTTCCCCCACCAGCGCGCTGCCGACTTGCGTGTAGCCGGGAGCCTTGCGTTATCGAATGTGGTCCTGCTTCCTCACAGAGCTGTTCGCGCTGCCGATTCCGCACGAGCCCCTGTCAGGGGCAACGTTCGAGAGGGGGGGGCTCAGGGAGGGATGAATCGACCCCCAATCGCCCATTCATCGCCGATGAGGGCCTGATAGCCTACGTCGCCTGGGGGCGTGCGTACTAGCTTTCGGCTATCGCCGACCCATCCAGCTGCCTGCGGCAAGTCCCGCCACCGTGCCAGCCCAGCATTCTGGGTGGCGACGGTTCGAGGTGGCACAGGAGGCCTTTACGTGTGATACCTCATGTCTCCAGGCTTTGAAGAGCCTTGATGTGCACGATGAGGATTATGAGGATGCTGGGGGTGATGGCGATTATGATGGTTCCATGGTGATAGTTAATCATACTACGGCTTATTATGGTATAACAGGTAATGGTGATACTGATGCTGATGCTGCTGATGATAACGATGATGGTACTGATAATGCTTCTTATGATGATGAAGCTGATGATGATGACGATGACGAGGACGATGACACTGACGATGATGAGGATGATGCTGATGATGATATTGGTGGTTGTGATGCCGAAGATGATGATGCTATCATCATGTTGATGGTGATGATGGTGTTGTTGCTGATGATGTTGGATATGATGATGATGATGATGATGGTGATGATGATGATGACGGCGATGGCGATGACGATGGCGATGATGATGTCGATGGTGATGATGCTGATGTTGACGATGCTGGTGATGATGATGGTGGTGGTGGTGGTGATGCTGCTGACGACGGCGATGGCGACGATGACTTCGACGAGGGCAAGACGATGACAATGACGATGACGATGCCGTTGATGATGGTAATGATGATGGTGATGATGACGGTGGTGGAGGCGATAGTGATGGTGATGGTGGTAGTGATGATGAGGATAACGAGGAAGGTGTACATGATGACGATGATGCTGCCGATGATGATGATGATGCTGATGATGCTGTTGGTGCTGCTGCTGCAGATGATGACGATGGTGATGATGATGATGCTGATGGTGGTGATAGTGATGTTTTTTTGTGATTGAGATGATGATGATGATGATGGTGATGATGGTGATGATGATGAAGATGACGAGGAATGTGTATATGCTGATGATGATGATGATGCTGCCGATGATGATGATCACGGTGATGGAGCTGGTGCTGCTGATGATGATGCTGATGTTGATGTTGCTGATGACGGTGATGATATTGATGATGATGAGTGTGATGATGATTATGAGGCTGATGCTGATGATGATGATGATGATGATGATGATGATGACGGTGGTGATGATGATACTGTTGGTGATCGTGATGGTTGGTGATGGTGATGCTGGGGGGAGTGATGATGCTGATGGTGATGATGATGCTGATGCTGATGATGATACTGACGCTGATGTTGTTGATGACGGTGATTATGCTGATGATGATGAGTGTGATGATGATGTTGATGATGATGATGACGGTGGCGATGATGATGATGGTGATGTTGTTGGTGGTGGTGATGCTGATAACGATGATGATGATGCAGATGATTATGACGATTATGATGATTGTGTTGCTGCTGATGATGATGATGATGAGGATGAGGATGAGGATGAGGATGAGGATGAGGATGAGGATGAGGATGAGGATGATGATGATGATGATGATGATGATGATGAGGATGAGGATGAGGATGAGGATGAGGATGATGATGATGATGATGATGATGATGATGATGATGATGATGATGATGATGATGATGATGATGGAACTCTTTTGGGCTGCTCTGGGGCTGCCTTGGCCTCCTGTGGGGCAGTTTTCGAGGTCCCTTGGGGGCCTCTTGTGCTGTGTTCCGTGTTGGGGCCCTCTTACGCCAGTTTGGGAGTTTCTTGAGCCGTCTTGGGGCCCTCTTGGCCGTATGTGGGGTGTCCGGCGGTCGTGGGGCCGTCTTGGCGCCTTCTTGTGCCGTCGAACGGCCATCTAAGGCCGTCTTGGGTCCCACGGGCGGCCCGCTTGGGCCGTTTTGGGGCCGTCTTGGATGCCTCTTGGGCCATCGTGGAGTCGTCTCGGGCTGTGTTCAGCTGGCGGCAGCCTGGAAAGGCGAGAATGGAAACGAGTATGAATGAGTTTGCTGTCTCCTGTGTTGGGTGTCCTATTCGGGTAACTTTGAGGGTCTCCTGGAGGCATCTTGGGCGGTCTTGAATCCATATTCGGCCGCCTAGGGACCATCTTGGGCCGTCTTCGATGCATCTTGGGCCGTCTTGGTGTCCTTGGTTACCTGCACTGTCCGTCTTGAAAGCTTTAGCGAGGGATCGTGGCTTGGGATGCCCTGGAGCGCTTGGGTGCAGCGCCTGGGAAAGCGGGAAGTGCACAATCCTCGAGCGGGCGCGCATGGGATGAGGGTTCAGGCATAAGCTGTCACGCGGGAAGTGCACCATCCTTGAGCGGGCACGCGTGAAAGGGGGTTCAGGTATTAACTGCCATGCGGGAAGTGCACCATCCTCACGCGGGCACGCGTGAAAGGAGGGGGGTCAGGCATTAGCTGCCATGCGGGAAGTGCATCATCCTCGAGCGGGCACGGGGGGAGTGGCCTCGGAAAGGAGAGGCTGTGCGCGCAGGAGTCTGCCTGTGGAGGGGCGGCCCCTTATCAGAATTCCAAAGAAACCCTACCATATTGACCTTGCCTCAACGTGACAAAGTGGCGGATCGACGATGTATCGCCTACTGCAGCTCGATGTTTCTCCTGAGCTGGTCCCCCCAGAAAGTTCCACCTCAGAGGAGGAGGAGGAGGAGGAGGAGGAGGAGGAGCAGGAGGAGGAGCAGGAGGAGCAGGAGAAGCAGGAGGAGGAGGAGGAGGAGGAGGAGGAGAGAGCCGATGGGAGGATAACCTTTCCTTGCCATACGGCCAGCCGTAACAAAAGGCGGATGAGAGGGGGAGGATGAAAATGGTGGATGAAGCAGGGTATCGGGAGGTTGGAGAGAAGAGGGAGGAGGGAACGAGAAAAGGGAAAGCAGGCAGGGAGGGACGAGGATAAGTGGAGGAGGTGGGGGGGGCAGGAGGGAGGACAAATGGGGAGGTAGGCCTGGTGTCCACAATGCTGCCCGCGAGAGGACGTCAACGAGTGGTGGAGGGTGGAGAAGCTCAGGTGGCGCGGCTACCTCGAGAAGGTGGACGAGGAAGAGGAGCAGGAGCCGCTTGGCCCAGCGGGCCCTCCCTCCGTCGTCCCTCCCTTCTCTCCCCCTTCTCCCCCCCTTTCTCCTCCTGGCCCGCAGGGGGGCAGCTCGTGCTGCTGCTCAGGCCGCCGCTGGGCCGAAAAAGCTGCAGCGGCGCAGAGGCCCTTGGCTGGTGGCTCGTCTCGGGTGAGGGAGCGGGGGTTCCTTTTGGGGTCCGCCTCGTCTCGGGGTGCTGCAGCCTCCTGGGCGTCTCTGCTGCCGGTCCTGGTTTAGCAAGCGGGTTCCAAAGAGTTCCTTCTGCTCCTCCTCTTCCGCCCTCCCCCACTCCTACGTCCCTCCCCCCTTCCTCGGTCCTTCCCTCTCCCGTCCCCCCCTGGGTCTGCATGCCGTCCCAGAGCTGCGCACACCCCAGGCACTGATCCCTTCATGGGAATGTTTCGGGGACATCTGGGCCCTGAGTCCATGAGTCCCGTCCTCCCCCCGCCGTCCTCCCCCTTCCCTCCCCCCCTCTCCGCTCCTTCTGCGCTCGCGCGCGCCCTCCCGCGGGGCCTCGATGCGGGGCATGTCGTCGGCATCGTCGTTCTCGGCAACGTCGCCGTGGTGATGGTAATTGTCACCATCGTCGTTGCAGGAGGGGGGGATGAACGGCGGAGAACGGCGAACAAACAATTGCGTAAACAGAAATTTTAGGAGCTCTGCGCGGATTCGTTGGGTCGGCACTGGGGCCCCACTGGCCGCGCCTCCGGCGCCGCCCGCCCCTGGCGCCCTCCGCGCGCCAGGGACGAGGATCCAGCAGCGATCCTGCAAATCCGCGCGGACCTCCAAGAGTTCGTGTTCATGCCACTACTTGTTCCCCAGCGAAGGCGAGCGGTGTGTGGGGGTTGGGGAAGAGGATGAGGAGGAGGACCTTTTGTCCGACATCTCGCCATGCTGCCTCGCACATCCGCCACCTTGCATGGAGCTCGCGGTCAACAGGCGCTACAGCGGCTGCTGCATGAGATGCGTAGTGGCTGCGCGGGCGGCAAAATCTAGCTCTCGGCATGCTCGAAGCAGGCATCAGTCGTCCCCGTCGTCAGAGCAGCAGGCCGGGGGAAGAACTTGGGCTGCAGAGCGCAGTCAAAATTGCATCCTGAGGGGACCTTACGAATGCTGAGTATAACCCGCAAGGACATAGTTCAGCCCGTCATCAGAAACTTAAACCGCTGGTGTCTGAAATGGAACTCAAGCCGTATATGCAAATGTGTCTACGGTGTTGTGCTAACGGTATCGCCGGGAGGCGTCGCCTATCATAAACAGATATTCGCAATATTGTGTTAACGAGCTTGTCTAGGGGAATCGTGTGCGCTTCATTGGGCGATTGAGGAGCATGATGATGCGGAGTATGATGCTGACGAATAGGCTGATGAAGGAAGCGATCTACTTGGGGGGAGGAGTGTGGACGAGGGGAAGGAGGACGAGGAGAAGAACGAGGCGGATCAGCAGCCGCAGGAGGAGTAAAAACAAATGGTTTCGGAGGAAGAGCAAACGCATAATAATGAGAAAGGAGAGAGCATGAACAGCACCAGGAGCAAGAAAACGAGGGTAAGATGGAGGAGGGCAGGGTGTCAGATACCAGAACTCCGACTTCGCATTGATTTTACAACTTGGACCCCTGGAGGTCTGCGCCCCTTCCCCAGGACCAGCTCTTTTGTTCATTCGTGTGTTCGACGGCCTGGAGGCCCGATGGGGCCTTCGGAAGCCGAACACGACCAAAAACCGTCCGTCGTGTTTTTTCGCGACGAGGGGAGGCCAGGAAGGAGGAGAAGGAGGAGGACGACGACGACGAGGAGGAGGAGGAGGAGAACAAGCAGAGGGGGACAAGGAGGAGGAGGAGGAGGAGGAGGAGGAGAAGGAAGAGAAAACGGATGGGGGACGCAAAACGAGACGCGGCTCGCAGGACTACATGAAGCAGCTGTGGGAGACTTGGGACCGGCCCTTCCTGGAGCGCCCTGCCACTCTTGTCCGCGGCCGCTCCGCGGCTGAAGCCTGAGACAACGACTAAGGGGCAACGCTAGGGAGGACATGCTCGAGAGGTTTTGGAAGCTCGCGGCCAGTTTTCGAGCCGCGGGGTGGTTTCCGTCAGCTGCGCCTTGTCGATAGCGTTCCGTGGGTGCCCAGATCATGCCGAGCAGCCGCCGCAGGCTGATTTTGTCCATGAGCCGCTCAGCGTCTGTGGATGGAGACAGCTAGAATAAGAAAAACATGCGTAGACATAGTTGTTCGGGAAGGCCCGCTCGCATTTCTTGCGTCGCGCTCTATCCCCGCCAGCGGCGCCTCCGGCGCCCTTGGCGGGCTCCGCGCGCCAGCAGGCAAGGATCCAATAGGCTTGCGCACAAACTATGCATCGGCCTATGGTAGGCCCATGCGGAGCCTGTGCGTATAGGCCTACGCATAGGGCTACCACAGGCCTATGCGCAGACTGCGCATAGACCTGCGATAGGCGTATGCATAGGCTATGCGTAGGCCTACCGTAGACCTACCAATAGCCTATGCGTAGGCCGATTGGTAAGCCTACCAGTACTCTACGCATAGCCCATCATCCTGCTGTAGGCATACCCTTAGTCTATGCAGATTCCGCACTCGAGGCCCATGCATAGACTAACCATAGACTTAGGCCTACAAATTGTCCACCATAGGTCCACCATACGTTTATTACATAGGCTATGTATAGGCCTACCAGTGGTCTATGCTCCGGCTACGCATAGGCCTATGGTAGGCACGCGGACAACCTTTTACTGGAGTCTTCTTGGAAGGCGTTACATTAGGAATCCGATTGGGAGCCAATACGAAGCGATAGGAATGTGTTACATTAGGACACCAGTACAAAGGCCTCTCACTAGAAGGCGTTACACTAGGAATCCAATTGGAAACCAGTACGATGGGATCCTATTGGAAGGCGTTGCAAGAGGAATCCGATGGGAAACCATTCCAATGGGATCTTATGGGAAAGCGATGGAGTAGGAATCCGATTAGAAACCAGTACGAAGGGATGTTGCTGCAATGCGTTACAATATCAAAGGGATCGTATTGGAAGGCGTCATAAAAGAAATCGGCTTGGAAATCACAACGTCGGGATTCGATTGGAAGGCGTTACAATCGGAATCACTTGGAAACCGGTGCAACGGGATCCCATGGGAAGGTGTTACAATAGGAGTACATGGGAAAACCAACACAAAAGGATATGTTGGAAGGCATTTCGAAAAGGGATCATGTTGGAAACCATGCCAGTGGAGTCCGATTGGCAGGCGTTGCAAACATAAAATGATTGGAAACTGCTACAACGGCGCGCATCGGCCTACCATAGGCTTACCGTAGGCTTGCCATATGCCTATGCGCTGGCTGTGTATAGGCTTACCACAGGCCTTTGCTTAGGCTATGCATATGCCTATAGCGGGCTTCTGAACAGCGTCCGCGAGTGTCCTAATGGAAACAATTACAAGTGGAATCAGTTGGAAACCATTATTTTGGGATCCTATTGGCAGGTGGTACAGTAGGATTTCAATTTGAATCCATTGCAACGGGATCTTATTCGACAGCGTTACAATAGGAATCCTGCTGGAAGGCCGTACAAGAAGTATTACAGTGGGGCTCTATTGGAAGCGATAGCAATAGGAGTTCATGCAACGACCATTACAACAAGTTCCTGCTGGAAGGCGTTACGCTACGAATCCGATTGGAACCGTTACAACGGGATCTTGTTGGAAGGAACTACAATCTGAATCCGGTTGGAAACCCTTCCGGGGGATCTTGCCGGCAGGCGGTACAGTGTGAATCGATTGGGGAACACGACAACGGCATCTTGTCGGAAGGCGATACAATTGGAATCCAACTGGAAACCGTTACGCTTGGATCCTATGGGAAGGCGCGACGATAGGAATCAAGTTTGACACTGGTACAACGGGATCCTATCGGAAGGCGTTGCGATAGGAATCTGCTTGGAAATCTGTGCAACAGGTATCCGGTTGGAAGGCGCTACGTTTAGAAATCCAAGTGGCAACCATTACAACGGGATCTTGTTGGTCAAGCGTTGCAAAAGGAATCCTGAGAAAACCACTGCAACGGGATCTTGTTGGAAAACGCTTTTTTCGGAATCAATTGGAAGCCATTACAACGTGGTTTTGTGGCAAGGCATTGCAAGAGGAGTCAATTGGAAACTACTACGATGGGATCCGTGTGGAAGTACATTCGGAATTCATTTTGAAACCACTACAACGGGATCCTGTTGGAAGGTGGTATATTCGAGATAAGTGGAAATCACTACAACGGGTTTCCATGGAAAGGCGCTGGAACAGGAACCCACTTGGAAACCACTACAACGGGATCCTATTGGAAGGCGTTCCGGTCAGAATGGGATCTTGTTGGAAGGCATTACAGTAGGAATTCAACTGGAAACCATTACAACGGGATTCGAATGGATGGTGGTATATTTGGAATCTAGTTCGAAACCACCAGAGCGGGCTTCTATTGGACGGTGATACACGTAGTAGTCACACTGGAAACCCGCACAACGGGATATGATTGGAAGGCGTTGCAATGGATGTACAATTTGAAACCATGTAAACGCATCCTATTTGAAGGCATTGCGCTAAGAATCCATGTGAAGATCCACGGCAACGGTTAGCACGTGCCTCCTAAGAATTGCCGTAGGCCCAAGATAGGCCTGCACAGGTTGCGTCTAGGCTTACCACAGGCCTATGCACAGGCTGCGCATAGGCCGATGGTAGACCAATGAACAGTTTACACTTGGGCCCTACTGCGAACTGTGACACTAGGAACCAGTTGGAAACCATTACAGATGAAACCTTCTTGAAGGCGTTACACTGGGAATCCACTTGGAAGCCACTACAACGGGATTATGTTGGATGGCGCTTCGCTGGGAATCCAATTCGAACCCATTACAAAGAACTGCTATTGGAAGGTGCTACAAGCAGGAATCGACTTGGAAACCGTTACCAAGGGATCCTACTGAAAGGCCTTGCAATAGGAACCTACATGGAAACCACTACCAAGGCATCCAATTGGAAGGCGTGGCAATAGAAATCCAATTCATAACCACGACCACGGCTCGCACGACCCTGCTCAGCCTTACCGTAGCCTTACCATAGGCCTACGCAGAGGCTTTGTATAGGCTTACCATAGGCACGCGCATCGGCTATGCATGGGCCTATGGTAAACCTATGAACAGTCTGCACGAGGGTCCTAGTGGGAACGGTTGCGATCGAAATTGTTTTGGAAACCGCTACAAAAGAAACTTGCCGGACGGCGGTACGGAGGAGTCACATGAGGAACCACCACTAAGGCGCTACAGTTTGAAATGCAATTGGAAACCGTTACAACGAGATCTTATTGGAAGGCGTTGCAACAGGAACTAAGTTGGAAACCGTTACACCGGGATCCGATTGGAAGGCCCGACAATAGGGACCCAGCTGGGCACCAGTACAACGGGAACCTTTTGGAAGGCGTTCCAAATGAGGAATCCAGTTGGAAACCATTACAACGGGATTCTATTGTAAGGCGTTACAAGTATGACTCCAAGTGGAGGCCGCCCTCAAACGGATCCCATTGGAAGGCGTTACATTCAGATTGCTTCGGACAGCGTTCTCAACGGGATCCGATTGGAAGGCGATCAAATAGAAACTTTTAGTGCAAATTACACTCAACGGGATTCTTTTGGAAAGCGTTACATTAGACATCCTGCAGGGATCCATTACAATGGGTCCCCGGCGAACGGCATTACAGTAGGAATATTATTGGCCAGCTTTACATCGGTTTTCTATTGGAAGGGGTTCCAGTAGGAGTTTGGTGGGCAACCATCACAACGGGGTTTCATGGAAGGCGTTCCAATAGCTATTTGCCGAGAACCAATACAAGTGGATCCGATCGGAAGGCGTTTTTACGGGAACCAGTTGGAAACCATCACGGCGGGATCCGATAGGAAGGCGTTGCAATGATAATCGATTGCGTACCACCTCGGCGAGCGAGCGAGCGAACGAAAGGGACCTAGCGCAATTAAGATAAACATTCGTTCGTGGGGAATTACGAATTGTCGCAGGGTTTTCCACATTGATTCTAATTATGGGAAACCACGGATTTGAGTTGATTATCAGTTTTGTTTCATGTTGTTTATACTCATTAGAAACAAAAGCATTTGCGGACTCACAACTTGAATTGGAGCGCTGGGCTTCTCAATTTAGCTTCATGTATGGCCTTCTATGCGCAGCCTGCGCACAGGTCTACCATAAGTACACGCATAGGGTATTACAGGGCCTATCGGGCGAAGCGCTGGTAGGCCTACGCATCGGTTACGCATCGGCCTACTCTTGGCCGATGCATAGCCCATGCAATGGCAACCCTTATCTACGCGCCAGGGAGGGGGGCCCAGTGCCAGTCCAAGAGATCGGAGCTGAGCACCGACGGTGTGTGATTACGCTGTTTCTCCCACCTATGATGTAGTTATGTAGACGGGGACAACGACGATGGCGGAGACGACGCGGCGGCGACGACGACGGTGAAGTTCTCCAAATTCAAATCGTGTTCCTCTTAGCGATACGCCCCTATCCCCCTGAGTGGGGCACGAGGCACACAGTAGCATCTTTTGATGAGTTGCAAAGGACTTGTGTATTGCAAACGTTCCAAGTTATAATATGTCACTTCCTTCTCCTTCGTCTCCACCTCCCCTCACTCACCGTCTCATTTTTCCTATTTCCGCCCCTGTGCCACATCCTGCTGCCTCGTTCGCAGTATGACCTCTCTTGCTCCTCGTTCTAACTCCCTGCTGCCACTTCCAGCTGCCTCACTCACTTACTCATCTTTCTCGTTATCCCTTGACTCTCCTCACTCGGAGTATTATTTTCCTCCGCGTTCTGCTTTTCCTCGTTCCCAACGTCCGGCTCCAGCCCAATTTGATGAACACCGTTGTGTTCTTGGTAGAGACCGCGCAGACAGTGTCCATCCTGTTTGTCAACTATAAGGGCCAGCCTTGGATGAAAGGACGCCCCGGTGCCGTGCGGACGGCACAAACTAGTGCGAAGGGAGGTGATCATGATGATGATGATGATGATGATGATGAGGAGGAGGAGGAGAGGAGGAGGAGGGCGCGTGATTTGAACCTCGAGGATGATGATGATGATGATGATGATGATGATGATGATGATGATGATGATGATGATGATGATGATGATAATGATGATAATGATGATGATGATGATGATGATGATGATGATGATGATGATGATGATGATGATGATGATGATGATGATGATGATTATTGCGAGGAGATAGGAGCACGGGAGGAACAGGGAGTACCCTCGGACTACCGGCAGGAGGGGGAGGAGGAGGAACGATATCAGGAGGAGGTTGATGAGAGAGGAGACAAGACAAGACACGGTATTGCTTCGGTATCAAGAGCCTTGTGTATTTTCGTAATTCCGTCTTTAGAGTGCACTAGCGTCGACTAGCGTCGGGTAGTCGATGATATAGCGCCGATTTAGCGTCGGCTAGCGCAGATTAGCGTCGATTTAGCGTCGATTAGCGTCGATCCGCAAGTGGCAACAAGGTGGTAGGGGAGGCTCCCATGAGTTGCCACCGAATGCCGAATATTGCAATGGAGACCCGAATCGACCGCATCGAGAAATCGATAAAGCTGTGCGCGCTGCTTCGGCAACTGGACCTCGCTCGCAGACACAGGTGGCATGTAGGGGGGCCACTCGTGCGGAAGGACAGGGCTCGAGTATTTCGAAATTGGTGAGCCGAACGACTTCTCTGAAGCATCCCTGGCCACGGATCCCCGACTGATGATTCATACGAAAGAGCGTGTTCTACCGCTGCTGGCGGAAAACCTGGGGGGGTCACTACCGGTTCAAACCCCTCCCCCCACCCCCCCTCCGGAAAACTGGGGGGGGTCACTACCGGTTCGAACACCTCCCCCCCCCCCCAGTTCATCATTAAAAGGGGGGAGGTCACTACCGGTTCGAATGCCCCCTTCCCCCCCCCCTCGAAAACCGGAGGGAGGTCACTGCCGGTTCGAACCCCGCCCTCCCCCCCCCCTCTTCTCGAACACCGAGTGGGGGTGCGGACAGTGGTGGGGACGGTGGTGGTGGGGACAGTGGTGAGGGGACAGCGGGACAGTGGTGGGGACAGTGGGACAGTGGTGGGGACGGTAGTGGTTGGGACAGTGGTGAGGACAATGGTGGGAACAGTGGGGACAGTGGACAGTGATGGGGACGGTGGTGGTGGGGACAGTGGTGTGGGGACAGTGGGAATGAGGTGGAAACAGTGGGACAGTGGAGGATACAGTGGTGGTGGGGACAGTGGTGAAGGCGGTGGCGAGGACGGCGGTGGGACAATGGGACAGAGGTACAGTGGTGACAGTGGTGGGGACAGTGGGGACAGTGGTGGAAACAGTGGGACAGCTCAGTGGGACAGCGGAGGAGTCAGTGGGACAGTGGGGATAGTCGGGCAGTGGTTGGGGCCGTGGAGAAAGTGGGGAGAGTGGAACCGTGGTGGGAACAGTGGTGGGGACAGTGGGGACAGTGCGACAGTGGTGGGGGCGCTGGTGGGGACAGTAGGGACGGTGGTGGAACCAGTGAGGACAGTGGTGATGAGGACAGTGGTGCTGGGAACAACAGTGGGGGATGTGATGCGGACGGTGATAGGGACCAGGAGTCGTTTGCTGGCGGTGAGTGGGGGGGTGGGGAGGGGTTCGAACCGGTAGTGACCCCCCCTCCGGTTTTCGAGGGGGGGGGGGGTTCGAACTGGTAGTGACCCCCCCCGGTTTTCGAGGGGGGGGGGGGGGGGGAGGGGTTAGGGGAGGGGGGGTTTTGCCGGGGGAGGGGGGGGGGGGGGGGATTTTTGGAGGGGGGGGGGGACCCCCGGGTTCTGGAGGAAGGGGGGGGCAATTTTCCACAGTAAAGCGGCGGTGGATCACGCTCTCTCACAAATATCTAAGTCGCTCCGAGCTCGAGAATTGCACCACTTCCTCACGGCGCTGCTGGACAGGACGGGAGGCGACATCCCCAGCATCGCTCGTGACACGCATCAGGGCAGTCGCTATCTCGAGCTGGCGAGAGGGCAGGGCGGACTCACCGTCAGCAGTAGAAGGCGCTCCGAGGAGCAGGCCACTGCCTTTCGGGTGGTGGAGACCAGGTGAGACGCAGGAGCCCCCAAGAGAGGGCCACTGCCTGACGCTTCCACCAGAACCTGGCCTCCATGTGCCACTGCCGCTGGATAGACCAGGCAACGCCGTGCTTGTCCTTCAGCATGTGTGTCCGTCTCGTGGATCACTTGATCTGGCGTCCGATCCACCGTTTCGTCGGCCCACGAGGGGCTGGTCATGGAATGGGTCTTGGTTTCTCGATGGGGCACTTCGCGACGATTAGCCATAGCATGCGAGCCGTCTCGAGGTCCTGCACATTCAACGCGATGCTGAGAACTGCCTCGTGACCCACCATGGCTGCATCGCCGTCCTTCTCGGTGCGCGCATGCGTGTAGCGTCACGGTGCGCGCATGCGTGTAGCGTCACTGGAGCAAGAAGAGGCACGGCTGCTGTGGAGCCTGTCCACCATTGCTACCCCAGAACATGGTGAGGCTATGTCGCCAGCCTCAGGTGGCGACTGGCCCTGGGGTGCCAGGCGGCCGATGGCGCGCTGGACGAGGCGTATGACAAGGGCGACGTAGGGTGGGCCCCTGGCTGTCCAATCGATGCGCTCGCCGCCCTCCCTGCGCTACCTAATGACTTTGGGGATCTCGTTGTAAGCTGCGTTTGCCTCGGGACACGCCTGACCTAGGGCGTCCTTACCCTTGTCAACGACAACGGATCGATAAACGACGCTCTCCACAATCACCGTCCTGCGTGCCAGGCTGGCCACCAACTTCGCCATGCCATTGACCAGGGCGTCCGTGCCATCCTCCCAGACCACTCTGGCAAGGGAGGGGCCACCGCCGCCGCCATTTCTGCTGTCGCTCTTGATGTACTGAGGAGGAACAGAACGCACTTCAGGACAGCAAGCTTGATACGTAGGCAACGGTAGGTGTGTGTGTGGTTGTGTGTGAGGGGGTGGCTTCGTAGGTCAGCTTGGTTGGGCCCACCGTATTCGCACATCGGACACCTGTTACCAGCTGACTCGAGAAAGTATACGATCGGCGACGCTCCCCTGAAGTTGCACTGGCCTCGGAGAAGTGCACTCTGGAGGTGTCGGGTTGCCGTAACATCTGTAGCCTGGACCCTCTTACAGAGAGCAGACGCGCTCATAGGTGTGAGAACGTGCGCAGCTTGACGCACGTGGCGTCTGTGTCGCAGGTGTGCATTCAAGACTCCCCGTGTCGTGGATGAGGCCCCAGACTCCACTTCATCTTTGATGCTCGTTCAATTGACGGGCTTGTTCGCGGGAGTTGCGTCGTCGCCTCCCGCCCCCCCCCAGCCCCGCGTCGTCGTCATTTTGCTCGGACCTGGGCGAGGCAAGCGCAAACGAGAAGGCTGGCGCTCGATATCCGCTGAAATCGACAGGAATTCCTTAGCCATGTCCTACCTCTTATGTCGTATCCAAGGTAAGAGAGTAAGCTCCGCCGGCAGGTCCGAAAAGTCAGAACAGACAGCAGCAGCGTGTAGATCGGACCGCATCTGTAGGATCCAGGGCGACGCATGAAGAGTCTAGCCACTTCTGGACAGCTCGGATCGACCTCGTCGGACCCGAAATCGAGACGAGAGGACAGGGCCCCCCAGATCTGCCTGTTCATCTCAGGGTGGCTCGTCCAGCATTGACATCGCGACAAACGGCGGGCACGTAGCTCGACCACGCGCGGGGGGCCACGCGCCGGCAGGACAAACGTTGTGTGTTCGAAAGCCTACGCTCGTGAGCCGATCCCATCCGGGCAGCTCCTCCACATGGCGATGCGCTCGAGCTTGGCAAAGTGAGCGGCCATCACCCCGGATGTTGCGTGTTTCGTATCTTCTGGCGCGTAACGGTGGTTACCAGGTCGACCCTTTCCTTCACCCCTCCCTTCACCCCCCGTGTCTGCGCGTGAATAATGTGAGATGCGAGAGAATGCCGCTGCATCGCATGCTTAAGTTTTTTTCTTGCACCCGCCTGCCGTCCATTGCTGCCATCTATCCAGGGCGACGTCGCACCCTTTGGGGTACTTTGTCTTGTATCTGCGTTCGCGTCACGGGTTGCACAGGCGTGGCCCACTCTCCCGCTCAGTTCGTGCTTTCAAGATGCGTGGTGAAGCACCGACCGATGGTTGGAAAATAGAGTCGGATGTTAGAAGCGCTTCGCGCGAAGCATGTCCCTTGGCACGGTTTAGCAGCGTTGGGAATCATGTATACATATATGTAAGCATGTGTGCATGTATATATATATATATATATCCTTTGTTCGGGTGGTATTGGTTTGGAGCGAAGGGCGGCCCTCTGGTACGCCTGCCCCTCATTGAACCCCCAGAAGTCGTGTCTTGAGGCGCTCTTGGGCCGCTCTCGGGCGCCCTTTGGGCCGTCTTTGAGCCCTCTTCGGGCTCATCTTCGGGCTCCTCTTCGGGCTCTTTTTGGGATCTCTCAGCTTTACCCTAAGGCCTGAGGGACGCATTGGAAGCGAGAAAGCGAGCCTTCGGGGGCTCCGTGGCCACTTGGTCCCGTCTCGAAGCTGCCTAGGGCCAACAAGTGGAGCACGGTGGAAGCCATCTTGAGCGAGCTCGCGCTGAGCCATCTTGGAGACCATCTTGGACTCTTTTACGTCCTCTTGGAGCCATCTTGTGCCGTTTTGGACGTTCTGTCCGCTTGCGGGGCGTTCTGTCCAGACTCAGGGGGCGGGGCGGGGGAGGGATACAACCCTACCCGAAGGGGAGGAATGGGGTTGGAAGAGGAAGCGCCTTGAACCGCGTATGCCCTTCCTGAAAGGCCGTGGGAATGGCAGGCCAGGACAATGGGAGGGAAGTCAAGAGGCGCTTGTCACCAATCCGTACAGGTACGGAACGGTCTGGTTGACAGGGTGATCCCCCCCTGGGGTGTGTTCGCTTCGCGTTGTCATGCTATGTGCGGCATCGAGTTGTTCAAGCCAGCTCCGTCAGCAGCAATGCGGATTAAGACAAGGGTACGACCGGATTCCAATCCATGCCCTTTCTCCTCTCCAGTCATTCGTTTATGTTCCTCGTCGGCCACGTCTTTCCTCTCCTCATTCTTTTCCACACCTCCTCTCACTCTGGTGTTGCGGCGCCGTCCTGCTCAGACTCACTGCGCGAATCTGACGTGCACCTCTCTGGTCGCAAGAGCCTCCCGCAGGACTGACTGAGAACAGAGCCCTCTTCTTCTCCGTTTTCATAATGTCCGGCTCTATGGTGGCGGCCGCTTGGGAGGTGTTCCCAGAGATCAACGCGTTGATCCACTTGTCACCTTTCCCCAACGACAGGTTCGCGTGCTTCTTTTCGCCATCGATCATCATCCTCGGCATCAGCTCTTGATCTGCCTTCGTACCCTCCTGTCTTCATCTTCGTCCCCCCCACCGCCCAGCGGGTGACAAATGGCGAGGCCATCAAACCTAGGCTTGACGGTTTTGCTCAGCCACCGGACTGTGCACATGCGCAGAATGCCGTCACACATTGAACATGTTCAAAGCATGTTGTTAGCAGTCCCGCCAGCTTCTCTCGCTCCTCTTGCAGGCCCTTTAATTACTCCTAACCCATTCCCTCGACGCCGCCAGTTTCCGATGGCGAATCATGGCCCTTGTGTTCACCACCTTGTTCGGCACCTTCCTGTGGGACAGGGCGTGCGTGGCCATGTTCGCGCCAGACATATTTGCGGCCATGGTGGATTCGGCGAGGAGGACCACCTTCAAGGACACTGGCCTTGATGCCCTCTGGGCCCATGCTGGACCAGGCAGGAGGAACATAATGTGAGAGAGGCTGTCAGAATTGGCGAGGAAGAGGGGGAGCTTCGTACACGAGGAGGGTCGAAGTCCGAGTAGGCAGAGTTTCAGGAGGAGCATGATGAGGCGGAGGCAGAGCAGAGTGATCAGGGGATGGCGCGAACACTGAAATAAGCTAGGGAGGACAACAGAAACAATACAACAAAATAGCTGGGGGCGAGAGAGAAGTTCGGGATGCAAGAGCACGGGCGTCGCCGCCTCCCAGCCCTCGCCCCCCTGCTTCCGCGCCACAGCGACCCCCCCTTGTCCTGGCCCTCCCCCCTCTCCCTCGCCGTCGCCCTCTTCGACAACGAGGGGGAGGGGGAGGGGCCACGGCGGCGTCCTCGCCCCTCCCCTTCCCTCGTCGTCTTCGCCCCTCCCCCTCCCCTTCCCCTGCCCCTCCCCCTCCCCCTCGTCGTCCTCGTCGCCCCTTCCCCTCCCCTCCCCCTCCCCCTCGTCGTCGTGACGACCACGACCTTGACCACCTTGGCGTCCTGCTCGTAAAGCCACGACTATTCCTGGCGCCATGCGGGCCGCCTGGGCTCATTGAGGACTGCCAGGCAGACGCTGAGGATTTGTTGGATCGCGACGCTGATGAAGCTGAGAGCCTGTCAGCAAGCACGCTACGGAGGGAGGGAGGAAAGTCGCACAGAGCAGCGCCGGAGGTCTGTTTTGGGTCTTGTCCTCGGGTGCCCCGTTTCGGGCCCTGGACTGGGCCGGAAAGGCCACGCCTGGCCGCGACAGCAGGCCGATCCGGGATGAGGCACCAGCCAGGATGGATCTTGTGAGGGATCTGACGTACGGAAGAGGGAAACAATTACTGAACACTCCCCCTCCCCCCCAAACTCAACGTTGGCACGCGCGCGGGAGACTGCGGTCGAAGTGCATCTCATCAGACCCACCGCCAACTTTGAACATTGGGGGGAGGGGGGGCGTTGACGGATGCATGTGGCATGTGTTCGCTAATTTGTTCCGAGGCTTGTATCCTCCCTCATCCTTTGCACGCCGGTCGTTGAAAGTTGGTATGTGGACCCCCAGATCCCAATCTGCTTTAGCCGCCTTCCTACTCCAAGAGTCGAACGGTTTTCTCTCTTCCCTCTTCTTGAGTGGGCGGGCGGGAACCCAATCTACGTCAACGCCTTCCTGCGTCATACTTCATTCCGACCGACGGGCAATTTCTCTTCGTCCTTCTCTTGAAGGAGAGTGGATCGACGGAGGGCCAGTTGAGACAACGGCGGCTGTCCCGCACGGCCCCAATCCGCTCGAGATCGGTATGCGGACCCCTTTCTGCGTCCATCCTTCGGCGTCACCCCGACATACTTATACTATATGTGCGTCGCACCCCCAGGGGCGACGCGCGCACCGAGAAATCTTATAGTATAGGCGTCGTTGCGGGCGCTTTCTGGCCACGCCGCTCGGAAAACGACATACTACAATATGGGTACACCATATGTTCGGGTCGGACGCGCGCCTCCAAGGAGAACATATAGTACTAGTATGCCCCTGTGCGTCCCAATCCTGACCCGTGATTCGAGGCGGATCAGGCCGTGGCGACGAGAGGCCTCCGGCTCGAAAAAGGCCAGAGACGTCACGGACGGCCGCCGTTGTCTCGACCGGGCTTTCCTCCGAGGAGGAGGGGAAAAATGCCGGCGCCTCGCTCACCTCAGGACGACGTGCTGCCAATCTTCGGGACGGCCGGCAAGGTGGGGGCAGCGATCTTTGCCTCGACTCGGGTCGTCGAGCGGGGGCGAGTCCGATCTGCTTCTGTGCCGACGGCGAGGATCGATCCAGGGGACCCCGAAGCTCCGAATCGCTGATGTCGACATGGGAAGGCTTCGCGTTGCGCACAGACAGCCCCCCCAGGTAACACCCAGGTAGTCCCTGCTGGCCTCAACAGGCCCCCCGAGTAGTCCCGCACGGTCTCGACACCCTGGTTCCGCGCCCCAGTGCCAGGGTGTTGAGACTGCCGCAGACTATTCGGGGGGCCTGTTGCGGCCAGCTGGGACTACCTGGGGGGAGCCTGTTGAGGCCAGCCGGGACTACCTGGGAGGGCTGTACGTTCCCAACCGGAAACCGTACCACTTTTAAACGATTAGTTTCGACAACTATTTGGGAGGCTTTCTGTCTTGCCAGTGTATAATATGTTGTTCCTCAGCCATGGAAGTTTCTGGAGCACTCGGAGCATGTATAGGGGTACTTCGGTCCCGCAGGGCCCCTTCTTGCGAAGGCCTTACGGCCGGTTCCGCCGACCTTGCAGACGGAGACGACAAGCAGGACAAGGACTTTGAGGAGCAGGAGGCGGAGGACGTCAGGGAGCAGGAGGGGGGCGGAGGAGGAGGAGGAGGAGGAGAAGGAGGAGGGGAACAGGAGGAGGAGGAGGAGGAGGAGGACGACGGAGGAAAGAGGAAAGATGAGGATGGAGGGAGGAGGGGGGGGAGGAGAGGGCGTGGTAGGATGCCTCGACTCTTGGTCCGTCTGAGGCATTGTGTGGGCCCCGGGACCCCCAGGGGGGGAGTCGTATCTGACGGGGACCCCCCCCCGGAACCCCCACCCCTGGCAGGGGAGGGGTCAAAGGGGGAAGGGGCTTCCCTTCGACTTACTGACAATGTTGCTCTTGATGGGGAGGCTCTGGAAAAGCGGGAGGGGAGCGGCGACGGGCCCAGGGAAGAGGGGGAAAGGGGAGGAGGGGAGACGGGCCCAGGGAAAGGGGGAGCGCAGGGACAGGAGACGATTGGCCCAGAGAAAGGGTGGGCGCAGGAACAGGAGACGACGGAGACGACGACGAACGAACGACAGGAACGGACAAGCCCCTCACACGCGCCGACACAGGGTCGGTGGATTTTTCCACACTCCCGCCCCGCCTGCTCCTACCTACTGTATACCTACTCCTTCGCACCCCCTTGATTTTAGCACAACTCCTTGTTCATATGTACTCCCACTCTGCCACCTGGCTGTTCGGTAGCCTGCCAATCTGGTCGGTTCCAACCTCCTTGTGTCAAAGAGCTACAAGATCAGCGCTTGTCTTCTCAGCATGGACGTTGCGTCGCTGACTCTCCTACATGCATGGCAGGAGTTGGACGGTTGCACTGCGCACCCCGCCCGCAAGGGCGGGATGACTCTCTCTCTCTCTCTCTCCCTCTCGCCTCTCCCTCTCTCTTTCTCTCTCTCTCTCTCTTTCTCCCTCTCGCCTCGGCGCGCACTCTTCGCTCGCAAGTTCGTCGACCGCGCGGCCGGCGTGCGAGCTGTCGCTCGCCACGTTTTGTCCGCCGCCACCCTCGCCCAGGCTCTGTGCAGCTTCCCCTTTGGAAGCGGCGTCTCTCCGCGCGGGGCGCGGCGCCCGCCTTCGTTCGCCGAGCCGCGGGAAAAAAGCGGCCACGCGGCAGCGGGGCTGCACCAAAAAACGCCTCGCAGATTCCTCCGTGCAGATTCCCCTTGGAAGCGGCGTTTCCGCGCGGGCGCGGCGCCCGCTTTCGTTCGGCGAGTCGCAGGAAAAAAGCGGCTACGCGGCAGCGGGGCTGCACCAAAAAAGCGCCGCGCAGGTTTTGCGTGAAGGTGGCGGTGCTGGTGGCGCATGCTTCGTCTTCCGCCGCGCTCGTGGGACGCGTGGCCGCCCGGGGGAGCGCAGAGGGGTGCTCTCGCCGCAGCGCACGCGCCAGGATTTTTCCGGAAGTTCGGGTCCCGCCTGTGCGCGGCCTGCGTTTGCCCCCTCTCGCCAGGCCGTCGGACGCAGGACCGCGGAGCAGCGCCTTCCGGTCGCCAGGCTGAGCGCGCTCCGGCCCCGAGGCCAGTCTGCGCCACACTCTGTTCTCATGCTTCCTCGACCTTTCCTCCTCCTCCTCCTCCTCCTCCTCCTCCTCCTCCTCCTCCTCCTCCTCCTCCTCCTCCTCCTCCTCCTCCTCCTCCTCTATGGCATGGAAGGGCGAGTGGGAGTGGGCGGGGCCCACTGGCTCGGTCTTCCTGGCCGCGCACCGCGCTCGTGCTCGTCATCCTGCGCCTGCTAATGAGAGGCGTCCGTCCTGCTCGCATCCTCGGGGAGGGGAGAAAGGAGGAGGAGGAGGAGGAGGAGGAGGAGGAGCAGCAGGAGGTGTCCATCCTGCTCGCATGTCGTTTCCCAGTCGTGCGGGGAGCTTCCGACAGGGCCTCGCCCTCGAGGGTCGAAGGGAGTGGGCATCTCTGCCTCGGCGGAAGGCTGACGGAAGGATGGCGGAAGGCCGCGGAAGTCGGCCGGAGGCGCTCCCGCCGGCGGAAGGCTGGCGGAAGCCGGCAGAGTTAGAGTTCGTGTCCCCAAGAGATGACACGTTTGTAGGGGTCAGGCTTTCCAGGGCCGCCCACTTGTTCAACCATACCTCTGTTGTAGTTGGTATTGTTGTCGGTGCCCCGCTTCGTCTTGGAGTTGGCGAGGCCCAGAACTCCGACGTCGCGAATGTTTCACAACGTGGACCCCCTGAGGTCTGGACCGATTCCCCAGGATTGGCCCTGCATCCCGAATCTCGTTTTTGTTGCTACTGGGCCCAGTGAGGGCCCCGGCGGTTCGAAAACCTGGCAGAAACCGTCCGACGTGATTTTGTTCATGACAAAAGGTATGCAACGCGGCGCTTTGCGTGCTCAGAAGGCCGCGAGTTGGCGCAGAGGGCATGCGTGTGTGCGTGTTTGTTTGTTTGTGTGTGTGTGTGTGTGTTTGCGTTTGTGTGTGTGTGTGTGTTTGCGTTTGTGCCATGTGAATATTTATATGTGTGTTTGTGTTGTGCTTGTGTCTTAGTGCGCAATGTGTGAATGTGCGTGTGTGCGTTTGTGTGTGTGCGTGTGCGTTTGCGTGTGTGTGTGTGTGTGCGTGTGCGTGTGCGTGTGCCTGTGCGTGTGCGTGTGCGTGTGCGTGTGTGTGTATATGTGTATGTGTGTGTGTCTGTGTGTGTGTGGGTACTTTCGCACTGTATTGCATGATCGCTTAGGCCTCTTCCGCGTGACTTCGCTTTTTGTTCTTCTCCATGTGAC